ATTCTATGTATATGTATGTGTATGTACATGTACATGCTCATTGCACGTACATTGCATGGACATGTATCATGCTCATTACACGTACATCGCATGGGCATGTATATTATATGCACATGTATTATATTTGTATATGTAAATGTATATGCAAATGTATATGTATATGTAATTTCGGATGTCTATGTATATGTCTATGTTTGTGTTTATATCCACGGCTATATCATGTCCATGTCCATGTCTATGTCCATGGCTATATTTTTCTATGTCTATGTATGTATGTATGTATGTATGCATGTATGCAACCAACTATCTAACTAACTAACTATCGTACCAGTTATTCAACGAACTAGCTGTCTCACTCAGTTACAATTCCAAGTGAAATGACATACATTAATAATATAATCCCTAAGGCGGGTATACAGAAATAGGGAGCCCAATACAAATATTTTAATCTGTGGGATATAGACATGTAAACCCATCTTTCCAAATGTGTATTCATTCTCCCCTTTTACTTGTCTTCGAACTCGGTCGTTGGTGGTGATGAGCGGTGTACGTATCAGGCTGCGCATTAATATCTCTACTGTCAGGCGAAAGACATATACAGTGTTGAGTGCAGCGGCAGAAGGAACACCTGTTATGTGGTCTCCACCTCTCTCTTTCCCTCCCGCTTCCCGATCTCTTGCATGAGTTTGCCCGAGGATTGTGTCTCTTTGACCGAATGCTGGGCCAAACTCAATTCGCCCGCGTTGTGTATCCCGGCACCACAACTTACTCGTAAAATGTGCGTGACTATAGCGCCACTGTGCACACACACACATGTGCTGCAGCCCGGGCCATGGAGTGGGTCTACACAACACCTAAAACCCTGTCGAATGCAGTGTATTCCGGGATGATAGAGCTCACTTCTACCATCTAACATCTAATAGTGTGCTGATCTGATAGTATGCTAATCTAATAGTGTGCTAGTCCTTAGTGTGCTAATCTAATAGTGTGCTGGGCAACTATGCGAGAGACCGCGAAGAGAAAACGTGAATGGCGGACGCTGATGCGGCAGAAGTGCATATCTCGAACCACAACAGAGAGCTGGAGACCATCCGGCCGCCCGAATTAATTCCGTCTCTTAGTGCTTTAAAATGACAGAATTAGTTGCTGTTCTGCTTCAGATGTGACGGGTTCCTTGCGGACTGTAGGTAGAGACCAACACGGTACGGCCGTCGGTAGGATGTGCCCTTTCAATGCTCGTCGGACGAGTTGGACTCGAGATCCGACATTTCTGACAAATTCAAGGATAGACTTCTTCGCCCTTACATCTTCTCCCTTACATCTTCTTTCTTCTTCGCTCCCTTACAATACAGCCTCCTGCCTACTACAGACGTCGCCTGTGCCCATTTGTGACACGTCGAGGCTCAAAACCGAAGTACATACTATTCAGCCTGCCCTTGCACCCCTCGGTTTGGGGGCAAATAGTCCTGGACACTTTTCTGGCCGGCAGCAATATTGGCGGCCGCATGGATATGAAGTGCGGCTGACCTAAACAATGGGATTGAAACTTTTGCCTCGAGCACCTTCTCCTCGGTAAGTAGAATCTCAAGCTCAGTGCAACCCAGTATCACACCCTCGCAACCCTCCTCAGTGACCAGTGTCTGTATGAGAGACAGCAGAAACTCAGCCGACTCATCGCGGAAGATGTTGGCACTGAGTTCCAGACATATGATGTCGTAGCACCTGTGAGTACACGGTATAAGTAGAGGTAAGCATCATATAAACAATACAAACACATTAAAGGTCTTTGAAGCGTGCACCGAGACAATGTTGTTCAGAAACCACTTTCGATACTAGGAGAGCCACACAAGTAGTAAAAATAAGCGAGCTTGCGTCCTTGTTTTCGTGTCGAATTCAAGCGTTTCAAGCACAACCTTATTAGATCGGCAAGCTTTGTCGGGGCCACGACCTCAATGCCGTGCGTATTGATGCGTGACTTGAGCCAAGAGCCATCCTGCATAGTCGGCTTGGTGCCTAATAGGCCCACCTTTCGTAGACCTTTCTGCTTGATAGCATGTGCAGACGTGTCGGCTATGTGCAGTATGGGGATGTTGGTACGTTGCTCTACCAGGGGCACCACACAGTGGCCTGTGTTGGAGGCGATCACAAGCACCTCACTACCTGCCGCAAGCTGTAGCACCCGATGGTTTCCATAAGTGAATGTAAACAGTACGAGGGATCTAATGTTTGATCCGGGGACATGATTAATGATGGAGATAAGCATGAAATCTACGAGCACACGGCGGTTAGTTCTCCTAATTGCAAAGGTTTGCCGACCGCAACTCTCCAACTGTCATGGGCACTCCTAAGTCATTCTCTCAAGAATAAATTTGGTATTTCTCTACGTCTCAGCTCGAAAAACTATCTAAAGTTATTAAAATTCAAGCTGTAACGGGTTGAAATAGGTTTTGCACAGCTACCACTTAATCAAACCGAATCCAGTTGAATTGCAAGAACCTACGTTTGAGCTAGACGATTTGCATCCCTTTACCTGGTGTTTCAGTTCATAGACTTTTTCTGGGGTACGACCAATTGTATAGTGAGAGGTATTATAGCTTCTACACACACACGTATACACAAGCACACACACTCACCCACACACATAATATATATATATATATATATATATATATATATATATATATATATATATA